CCTCACCTGGTTCCACATGGGAACTCCATGAAGAGAGCTCAGTCCCACTGAGGGATTCTAGAGCAAAGTGGATGCCCTCTGTTCTCCGCCAACATTTGGCACTTTCTGTTTTGGACTGGGGCCAGTCCCATCTCTGTGTGTGACTACCTTTGTGTGAGTCCATAAACTGCTCTAATACTCACTTTCCTAATCTGTAAACAGGGAAGGGGTGTGTATATGTGTGTGTGTGATAGGAGTACTTGCTCTGTCACATCACACAGGGTAGTTAAGAGGATCGCTGAGATACTGTATATAAAAGCAAAAGAGTTATTTTGGTATTTTGGTTCTTCCCAGGCATCATTTAGACTAAATGTTCATGAAGGCACCCTCTTTTATATTTATTTATTCATTTGCTTTAAAAACATGATGGTATAAAAAAATTGTGGTACAATATACATAATACAAAATTAACCATTGTGACCATTTTTAAGTCTGGTGGCATTAAGCACATTCACATTATCGTGCTGCCATCCCCACCATCCACCTCCAGAACTTTTCACCTTACCTCCCTGAGACTCTGTCCCCATTCAATAATGCCCATTCCCCTTCCTTCAACCCTTGGCGACCACCATTCTACTTTCTGTCTCAATCAGTTACACTAGTCTAGGTATCATATAAGTGAAGTCATACGATATTTGTCCTTTTTTGACGGGCTTGTTTTACTTGGCATAACATCTTTAAGACTCATTCACGTTGGAGCATGTGTCAGAATCGCCTTCCTTTTTAAGGCTGAGTGATACTCCATCAGGTGTGTATGCATATTTGATTTATCCATTCATCCATCTTTGGACACTTGGGTTGCTTCCACCTTTGGTTGTTGTGAATAGCGCTGCTGTGAACACGGATGTACAAATATCTATTTGTGTCCCTGCATTCAGTATACCCAGAGGTGGAATTACTGAATCATAAGGTAATTTCATTTTTAATATTTTGAGGAAGAACTGCCATACTATTTTCCATGGTGGCTGTACTGTTTTACATGGCGTACCAATTTCTTCACATCCTTGCCAACACTTGTTACTTATTTATTTATTTTTATAGTAGCCATTCTAATGGGTGCAAGTGGTATCATTGTGGTTTTGATTTGCATTTCCCTAATTGTTGGTGATATTGAGTATCTTCCCATTTTGTATCTTTGGAGAAATGTCTATTCAAGTCCTTTGCCATTTTTAATCAGGTTGGCTTTTTTGTTGTTGTTGAGTGGTAGGAGTTATTTTTGTATTTTGGATATTAATCTCTTATTTGATATCTGATTTGTAAATATTTCCTCCCATTCTGTGGGTTGCCTTTTTACTCTATTGATTGGGTCCTTTTATGCAAAGAAGTTTTTAATTTTGATGAAGTCCACTTTGTCTGTTTTATCTGTTGTTGCCTGTGTGGTTAGTATATGCCCTATTTTTCAGTTGAGTCTCACACATGCTTGAAGACAAGAATGCTGCTGCTGACAGTACCAGTCAGCATGACTCCTCACCAGGTACCTTATAGGCATCATTTCTTTTAATTCTACAAGAGCCTTGTGAGGCAGGTACTAGCATGTATATTTTATAGGGTAGGAAACTGAGGCTGAGAAGTTAAGTGCCTTCCTCAAGGTTTGTGGATAATAAGAGGCAGAGCAGGGACTTGAGCCCTGGCCTTGGACTCCAGAGCCAGAGTTCTTACCCACTAAACTGAAGAATTCAGTAATTACTTGTGGAATTTGTGGAATACCTGAATGAACTTGATGGCTGAAAATCTGGTAATAGTTGTCTGAAATTCAGGTGTGCCTTAGTATTATAAATTATTCATACAGTTTCAGTCCTCCTAGTGTAATTGAGTGTGCAAGTCTTCCCAGCAAGTGTTCTGAGAGTTTGGTTGAAGGATGTACCTTCTCATAACTCACAGAGGCTCTTCTTGGTCATGGAAGACCTGTGTATTTTGCTTTTTCTTTGGATTTGCTTTGAAACTACAGTGTTGGAAGGAGAAAGAGAGGGGATTTAAATAGATGCTAAATTGTCTAACTGACCAACTTGCTTTTAAGACATTACCAGCTGCTGTTTTAATCATTAATGAGGCACAAGTCTTGTAGTCTGGGAGGCATGTCAAAAATTCTGTTTCAGGTTTTGGTTTAAAATTGAGCGTAATGGAGAGAGACTGATTCCCTTATCTCAGAGAATTGGGCCACAAGTCTTTGAGAGCTGGGGACAAGGACAGGGCCCTTTAATAGACACTTTTTTTGTTGCTCCTCAAAGGAAAAATCACACAGGGTTCTGGCATGTCCTTAGTAAAAATAGGAAATGAGGCCTGAGAAATTATGTGACTTAGTGTTGGAGAGTGGGATTTGCTAGTGGCTTCCAGTGAGAGTCCCTCATGTTAACTCTGGGAATTCTTAAACCAGCGATTCAGAGAACTGCTGAATACTGGCTTAAAGGGCCTTAGGAGCATTTGGTCCAACCCCCTCATTTTTATAGGTGAGGAAACTGAGGTCCAGAGTGCGTGGTTCTGTGCTGTTTGTACACTTATGACACACTTATGACACCAAATGTATGGGGTTTTTTTTCTGACACCTACCAATTCTGACACCAACTGTCTATCCTACTTTTCAATTCAGTTCTTGCCTAACTACCTGGACTTATCGCAGACCCCACAGGTTAAGGACTCAGTCCCACAAGACTGCCCCCACTTCAGACACCAGTCACAAGTCCCAGATTGCCACCTCTATTTCTGACTAACTGGGTATAAATTGGGGTGTGATATTGAGTATCTTCCCATTTTGTATCTTTGGAGAAATGTCTATTCAAGTCCTTTGCCATTTTTAATCAGGTTGGCTTTTTTGTTGTTGTTGAGTGGTAGGAGTTATTTTTGTATTTTGGATATTAATCTCTTATTTGATATCTGATTTGTAAATATTTCCTCCCATTCTGTGGGTTGCCTTTTTACTCTATTGATTGGGTCCTTTTATGCAAAGAAGTTTTTAATTTTGATGAAGTCCACTTTGTCTGTTTTATCTGTTGTTGCCTGTGTGGTTAGTATATGCCCTATTTTTCAGTTGAGTCTCACACATGCTTGAAGACAAGAATGCTGCTGCTGACAGTACCAGTCAGCATGACTCCTCACCAGGTACCTTATAGGCATCATTTCTTTTAATTCTACAAGAGCCTTGTGAGGCAGGTACTAGCATGTATATTTTATAGGGTAGGAAACTGAGGCTGAGAAGTTAAGTGCCTTCCTCAAGGTTTGTGGATAATAAGAGGCAGAGCAGGGACTTGAGCCCTGGCCTTGGACTCCAGAGCCAGAGTTCTTACCCACTAAACTGAAGAATTCAGTAATTACTTGTGGAATTTGTGGAATACCTGAATGAACTTGATGGCTGAAAATCTGGTAATAGTTGTCTGAAATTCAGGTGTGCCTTAGTATTATAAATTATTCATACAGTTTCAGTCCTCCTAGTGTAATTGAGTGTGCAAGTCTTCCCAGCAAGTGTTCTGAGAGTTTGGTTGAAGGATGTACCTTCTCATAACTCACAGAGGCTCTTCTTGGTCATGGAAGACCTGTGTATTTTGCTTTTTCTTTGGATTTGCTTTGAAACTACAGTGTTGGAAGGAGAAAGAGAGGGGATTTAAATAGATGCTAAATTGTCTAACTGACCAACTTGCTTTTAAGACATTACCAGCTGCTGTTTTAATCATTAATGAGGCACAAGTCTTGTAGTCTGGGAGGCATGTCAAAAATTCTGTTTCAGGTTTTGGTTTAAAATTGAGCGTAATGGAGAGAGACTGATTCCCTTATCTCAGAGAATTGGGCCACAAGTCTTTGAGAGCTGGGGACAAGGACAGGGCCCTTTAATAGACACTTTTTTTGTTGCTCCTCAAAGGAAAAATCACACAGGGTTCTGGCATGTCCTTAGTAAAAATAGGAAATGAGGCCTGAGAAATTATGTGACTTAGTGTTGGAGAGTGGGATTTGCTAGTGGCTTCCAGTGAGAGTCCCTCATGTTAACTCTGGGAATTCTTAAACCAGCGATTCAGAGAACTGCTGAATACTGGCTTAAAGGGCCTTAGGAGCATTTGGTCCAACCCCCTCATTTTTATAGGTGAGGAAACTGAGGTCCAGAGTGCGTGGTTCTGTGCTGTTTGTACACTTATGACACACTTATGACACCAAATGTATGGGGTTTTTTTTCTGACACCTACCAATTCTGACACCAACTGTCTATCCTACTTTTCAATTCAGTTCTTGCCTAACTACCTGGACTTATCGCAGACCCCACAGGTTAAGGACTCAGTCCCACAAGACTGCCCCCACTTCAGACACCAGTCACAAGTCCCAGATTGCCACCTCTATTTCTGACTAACTGGGTATAAATTGGGGGTTCCCATACCCCCTCCTCAGGTTCAATAATTTGCTAGAACAGCTCACAAAACACAGGAAAATAGTTTACTTACATTTATTGGTTTATTCTAAAGGATACAACTCAGGAACAGCCAAATGGAAGAGTTGCATGGGGCAGGGTATGGGGTGGGGGGATGCAGGGCTTCCATGCCCAGTCTGGGTGTGCCATCCTCCAAGCACCTCAGTGTGTTCACTAACTGGAAGTTCTCTGAGCCCCATGACATAGGCATGACTGATTAAATCATTGGCCATTGGTGATTAAGCTTAATCTCCAGCTCCTCTTCCTGGGAGTTGGAGGCAGAGGTGAGACTGAACATCGCTAACCCTGTAACTGCTTGGTCTTCCTAGTATCCAGCCCCCACCGCCAAGCTCTCTAGGGGCACCAGCACCAGTCAGAGCTTACAAAAGACACTCTTAACACTGGAGTTTGCAAGGGTTTTAGGACCTGTGTGCCAGGAACTAGGGATAAAGATCAAATGTATATTTCTTGTTGCATCACAGTGGGTGACTTGCCAAGGTCACACAGGGAGTCAATGGTAAACTGGGGGAAGAACCTGCTTTTATGACTCCTAAATGTATTTCTACTTCCTCAGGGTCCTTGCCCGTCATTGGGTATTTGTACGTGGACAGGGAGGCTAAGGAAAGTAGTGCTGAGTCCTCCATTTAATGAAAAGGCAGTTCGTGACTCAGACTCTTGAAGGTAAATACTTTTTATTTATTTTATTTTTTATATTTTGGTATCATTAACCTACAATTACATGAGGAACATTATGTTTACTAGACACCCCCTATCACAAAATTCCCCCCACATTCCCCATTACAGTCACTGTCCATCAGCGTAGTGAGATACTATAGAATCACAACTTGTCTTCTCTGTGTTGTACAGCCCCACCTGTGCCCCCGCCACATTATACATGCTAATCATCATGCCCCCTTTCTCCCACCCCCCTTGTCCCTCCCTTCCCACCCATCCTCCCCAGTCCCTTTCCCTTTGGTAACTGTTGGTCCATTCTTGGGTTCTGTGAGTCTGCTGCTGTTTTGCTCCTTCAGTTTTTTCTTTGTTCTTATACTCCACAGATGAGTGAAATCATTTGATACTTGTCTTTCTCCGCCTGGCTTATTTCACTGAGCATATACCCTCTAGCTCCATCCATGTTGTTGCAAATGGTAGGATTTGTTTACTTCTTATGACTGAATAATATTCCATTGTATATATGTACCACATCTTCTTTATCCATTCATCTACTGATGGACACTTAGGTTGCTTCCATTTCTTGGCTATTCTAAATAGTGTTGCAATAAACCTAGGGGTTGCATATGTCTTTTTCAAACTGGACTGCTGCATTCTTAGGGTAAATTCCTGGGAGTGGAATTCCTGGGTCAAATGGTATGTCTATTTTTAGTTTTTTGAGGAACCTCCATACTGCTTTCCACAGTGGTTGAACTAATTTACATTCCCACCAGCAGTGTAGGAGGGTTCCCCTTTCTCCACATCCTTGCCAACATTTGTTGTTGTTTGTCTTTTGGATGGTGGCCATCCTTACTGGTGTGAGGTGATGTCTCATTGTGGTTTTAATTTGCATTTCTCTGATGACTAGTGATGTGGAGCATCTTTTCTTGTGTCTGTTGGTCATCTGAATTTCTTCTTCAAAGATCTGTCTGTTCAGCTCCTCTGCCCATTTTTTGATTGGATTATTTGATTGTTGTTTGTTGAGGTGCATGAGCTCTTTATATATTTTGGATGTCAACCCTTTATTGGATCTGTCATTTATGAATATATTCTCCCATACTGTAGGATGCCTTTTTGTTCTATTGGTGGTGTCCTTTGCTATACAGAAGCTTTTCAGTTTGATGTAGTCCCACTTGTTCATTTTTGCTTTTGTTTCCCTTGCCCAGGGAGATATGTTCATAAAGAAGTTGCTCATGTTTATGTCCAAGAGATTTTTGTCTATGTTTTTTCCTAAAAGTTTTATGGTTTCATGACTTACATTCAGGTCTTTGATCAATTTTGAATTTGCTTTAGTGTATGGGGTTAGACAATGATCCAGTTTCATTCTCTTACATGTAGCTGTCCAGTTTTGCCAACACCAGCTGTTGAAGAGGCTGTCATTTCCCCATTGTATGTCCATGGCTCCTTTATTGTATATTAATTGACCATATATGGTTGGGTTAATATCTGGACTCTCTATTCTGTTCCACTGGTCTGTGGGTCTGTTCTTGTGCCAGTACCAAATTGTCTTGATTACTGTGGTGGCGTAGTAGAGCTTGAAGTTGGGCAGCGAGATCCCCACTGCTGTATTCTTCCTTCTCAGGATTGCTTTGGCTATTCAGGGTCTTTTGTGGTTCCATATGAATTTTAGATCTATTTATTCCAGTTCATTGAAGAATGCTGTTGGTATTTTGATAGGGGTTGCATTGAATCTGTAGGTTGCTTTAGGCAGGATGGCCATTTTGACAATATTAATTCTTCCCACCCAAGAACATGGGATGAGTTTCCATTTGTTAGTGTCCTCTTTAATTTCTCTTAAGAGTGTCTTGTAGTTTTCAGGGTATAGGTCTTTCACTTCCTTGGTTAGGTTTATTCCTAAGTGTTTTATTGTTTTTGATGCAATTGTGAATGGAATTGTTTTCCTGATTTCTCTTTCTGCTTGTTCATCATTAGTGTATAGGAAAGCCACAGATTTCTGTGTATTAATTTTGTATCCTGTAACTTTGCTGAATTCAGGTATTAGTTCTAGTAGTTTTGGAGTGGAGTCTTTAGGATTTTTTATGTACAATATCACGTCATCTGCAAATAGTGACAGTTTGACTTCTTCTTTACCTATCTGGATGCCTTGTATTTCTTTGTTTTGTCTGATTGCGTGGCCAGGACCTCCAGTACTATGTTGAATAACAGTGGGGAGAGTGGGCATCCCTGTCTTGTTCCTGATCTTTGAGAAAAAGCTTTCAGCTTCTCGCTGTTAAGTATTATGTTTGCTGTGGGTTTGTCTTATATGGCCTTTATTATGTTGAGGTACTTGCCCTCTATACTGATTTTGTTGAGAGTTTTCATCATGAATGGATGTTGAATTTTGTCAAATGCTTTTTTTTAGCATCTATGGAGATGATCATGTGGTTTTTGTCACTCTTTTTGTTGATGTGGTGGATGATGTTGATGGATTTTTGAATGCTGTACCATCCTTGCATGCCTGGGATGAATCCCACTTGGTCATGGTGTATGATCCTCTTGATGTATTTTTGAATTCAGTTTGTCAATATTTTGTTGAGTATTTTTGCATCTATGTTCATCAGGGATATTGGTCTGTAATTTTATTTTTTGTGGTATCTTTGCCTGGTTTTGATTTTAGAGTGATGCTGACTTCATAGAATGAGTTTGGAAGTATTCTCTCTTCTATTTTTTGGAAAACTTTAAGGAGAATGGGTATTATGTCTGATAAAATTCTGCAGTGAATCCATCTGGACCAGGGGTTTTGTTCTTGGGTAGTTTTTTGATTACCGATTCAATTTCATTGCTGGTAATTGGTCTGTTTAGATTTTCTGTTTCTTCCTGGGTCAGTCTTAGAAGGTTGTATTTTTCTAGGAAGTTGTCCGTTTCTTCTAGGTTTTCCAGCTTGTTAGCATGTAGATTTTCATAGTATTCTCTAACAATTCTTTGTATTTCTGTGGTGTCCGTAGTGATTTTTCCTTTCTCATTTCTGATTCTGTTGATGTGTGTAGATTCTCTTTTTCTCTTAATAAGTCTGGCTAGGGTCTTAACTATTTTGTTTATTTTTTCAAAGAACCAGCTCTTGGTTTCATTGATTTTTTTCTATTGTTTTATTCTTCTCAATTTTATTTATTTCTTCTCTGATCTTTATTATGTTCCTCCTTCTGGTGACTTTGGGCCTCATTTGTTCTTCTTTTTCCAGTTTCAATAATTGTGACTTTAGACTATTCATTTGGGATTGTTCTTCCTTCTTTAAATAGGCCTGGATTGCTATATACTTTCCACTTAGAACAGCCTTCACTGTGTCCCACAGAAGTTGGGGCTTTGTGCTGTTGTCATTTGTCTCCATATATTGCTTGATCTCTGTTTTAATTCGGTCATTGATCCATTGATTATTTAGGAGCATGTTGTTAAGCCTCCATGTGTTTGTGAGCCTTTTTGCTTTCTTGATACAATTTAGTCTTATACCTTTGTGATCTGAGAAGTTGGTTGGTAGAATTTCAATCTTTTGGAATTTACTGAGGCTCTTTTTGTGGCCTAGTATGTGGTCTATTCTCGAAAATATTCCAGGTGCACTTGAGAAGAATGTGTATCCTGCTGCTTTTGGGTGTAGAGTTCTGTAGATGTCTATTAGGTCCGTCTGTTCTAGTGTGTTGTTCAGTGCCTCTGTGTCCTTACTTATTTTCTGTCTGATTGATCTGTCCTTTTGAGTGAGTGGTGTGTTGGAGTCGCCTAAAATGAATGCATTGCATTCTGTTTCCTCCTTTAATTCTGTTAGTATTTGTTTCACATATGTTGATGTTCCTGTATTGGGTGCATATATATTTATAATGGTTATATCCTCTTGTTGGACTGAGCCCTTTATCATTATGTAATGTCCTTCTTTATCTCTGGTTACTTTCTTTGTTTTGAAGTCTATTTTGTCTGATACAGTACTGTAGCACCTGTTTTTTCTCCCTATTGTTTGCATGAAATATCTTTTTCCATCTGTGTATATCTTTGGGTTTGAACTGAGTTTCTTATAGGCAGCATATAGATAGATGGGTCTTGCTTTTTATCCATTCTATTACTCTGTGTCTATTGATTGTTGCATTCAGTCCATTTACATTTAGGGTGATTATCGAAATATATGTACTTATTGCCATTACAGGCTTTAGATTTGTGGTTACCAAAGGTTCAAGGGTAATTTTTTTACTATCTAACCATCTAACTTAACTCTCTTTTTAAGCTATTATAAACACAGTATGATGATTCGTTATTTCTCTTCCTTCTTATTCCTCCTCCTCCACTCTTTATATGTTAGGTGTTTTATTCTGTACTCTTTTAAAGTGTTTCCTTTGACTGATTTTGTGAGTAGTTGATTTTATTTTTTGCCTTTAGTTAGTATTTAGTTGGTCTGCTTTCTTTGTTGTGATTTTATTTTCTCTGGTGACATCTATTTAGCCTTAGGAGTGCTTCCATCTAGATCAGTCTCTCTAAAATATCCTGTAAAGGAGGTTTGTGGGAGGTAAATTCCCTCAACTTTTGCTTGTCTGGGAATTGTTTAATTCCTCCTTCATATTTGAATGATAATCATGCTGGATACAGTATTCTTGGTTCAAGGCCCTTCTGTTTCATTGCTTAAAATATATCATGCCATTCTCTTCTGACTTGTAAGGTTTCTGTTGAGAAGTCTGATGATAGCCTGATTGATTTTCCTTTGTAGGTGATCTTTTTTCTCTCTCTGACTGCCTTTAATACTCTGTCCTTGTCTTTGATCTTTGCCATTTTAATTATTATATGTCTTGTTGTCCTCCTTGGGTCCCTTGGGTTGGGAGTTCTGTGGGCTTCCATGGTCTGAGAGACTATTTCCTCCCCCAGTTTAGGGAAGTTTTCAGCAAGTATTTCTTCAAATACACTTTCTATCCCTTTTTCTCTCTCTTCTTCTTCTGGTATTCCTATAATGCAAATATTGTTCCATTTGGATTGGTCACACAGTTCTCTTAATATTCTTTCATTCCTGAAGATCCTTTTATCTCTCCCTGCTTCAGCTTATCTGTGTTCCTGTTCTCTGATTTCTATTCCATTAACGGCCTCTTGCACCTCATCCAGTCTGCTCTTAAGTCCTTCCAGAAATTGTTTTATTTCTGGATTCTCCCTCCCTACTTGCTCCTTTAGCTCTTGCATATTTCACTGCAGGTCCATCAGCATGGTTTTGACCTTTATTTTGAATTCTTTTTCAGGAAGATTGGTTAAATCTATCTCCCCAGGCCCTCTCTTGGGGGTTTTCTGAGTAATCCTGGACTGGACCAAATTCTTCTGCCTTTTCATAGCGATTGAGGTAGCTATAGGCAGGTAGCGCTTGTGTCCGCTGGGAGAACAAAGTCCTTTCCTGCTTGTTGGTCACCTTGCCCTTCTCCCCTGCCTGTGTCTGTTATCCACACACCTGGAGCAGCCTCCAGAATAATCCCCTAGGCTGCCGTGGGCGGGGTTGCCGTCAGGGTAGCCTAGAGCCCTGTGGGGAGTGGCAGGCGTGACAGGTGTGCTCTCCTGCAAGAATGGTGCCCCTTTGTGCCTTACCCTGGTTTCCTCTGCCTGCACCATGCAGGTGTGCACTGGCGGCGGCCTCTGGGTCTGGCCCAGGTGGCTGCGCGCCGGGAGGAGATTCTGGGCAGTTGCTGTGGGTGCAGCTGCTCTCCGGCTGCTCCGCGGATGTGAGCATGTGCGGCCGCTCTCTGACTGCTCAGGCACTGTGTCCGGGCCGCGCCAGCCGGGAGAACAACTGGTAGGCTGCCCATTGCCATGAAGGGCTTGAGGGGTGTGTTGCCACCCAGGGGACTGGGGCACCAAAAGTTCCTCAGAATTCCCAGCCTGGTGGGTTGAGTGTATCATGACGCTTCCGTCCAGCTGTGAGGCCGCTGTTCGTATAAGAGTTTCAAAAAGTGCCTGCTTTTCTTTTGTCCCAGGGGAGCCAGCTGTGGGGACCCACCCAGAGTCTCTGTCTTGGATTTTACTCTTCCTTCTGTTCCCATAATATCCAGCACCCCATGCACTGTGTGTCTGCGCTCCGGTGCGGATGGCTGGGGCTGGGTGTTCAGCAGTCCTGGGCTCCCTCTCCCTCCCGCTTCAACTCCTCTCCTCCCACCGGGAGCTGGGGTGAGGTGCGCTCGGGTCCCGCCAGGCCGCGGCTTGTGTCTTACCCTTTTTGTGAGGTGCTGGGTTCTCACAGGTGTAGATGTAGCCTGGCTGTTGTACTGTATCCACTGGTCTCTCTTTTAGGAATAGTTGTATTTGTTGTATTTTCAAAAATATATATGGTTTTGGGAGGAGATTTCCGCTGCCCTACTCACACCGCCATCTTGGCTCCTCTTCAACAATTAAGTTTTGATAAGTGAATCCACAGTTGCAACCCATACCTCTATCAAGATAAAGACTTTCACCATCACCTGAGGAAGTACTCTCCTGCACCTTCCCATGTAGAGGTAACCACTGATATCAACTATCACCAGAGATTTGTTTTGCCTGCTCTACCAGTGGGGTTGTACAGTGCGTGCTTTTTTGTGTTGAACCTGAGCAGTTATTTGGAGAGATTTTCTGCTGTGTTCCTCTAGTCCTGAGGAACCATATACACTATTTTCTCCAACTGCCATCTTGAAAGACTATGTGATCTGGGTCCTTCTGGTCCCTGAGGTGCTGTGATTTGGGGAGTGGGGGCCCTCGGCCAATGGGCCACCGTATTGCCTGCTGAGTGTGATGGAGGACATGGAGAGAACAACTTGATTTCCAGATATTACGTTGGGTTTGTTTCTATAATTATATTGGTGTCACAGAGTTCTCACTTGTCAACTGGGCAAATTGGATCTACCAGCAGATGAAAGAGACTAACTGACAACCAAAAATGTCACTTGTAATGGCACATTTCTGACAAGGTGCCCATGAGATGAACTCATTTCCATTTCATAAATACTTTTTGAACATAAAGTTAGATTGCTCCAAGGAGCAACAGCAATGGGTGTGGGGAGGTGAGGGGATGAGCAGACGGACAGGGGAGCCGGACTGTGATGAGGCATCTGTGGGCCTCTCTCCCTTGGAGCTTACTCTCAGTGGCTGGGGTGGGGGAATTATTTGTTTGTTTTTCTTCATAACATCTTTAGCCTTTGTTCTCTTTTCTTAGTTTTGGCCTCCTCTAACTTAGTCCAGCCCGGCCATGCTGGGCCATGGCAGTTACCATCCTCCTGCTCTCCTTCCTTCCATTCTCACCGCCTTTCTCTGCGTGGCCGCTCACAACTTTGGACAAGTAGACCAGAAGAACCTTCCTGGACCTCCTCATCTTCAGAATGCATCGTGAACGTGGGCTGGTGGTCAAGGCCCTTGATGATCGGGTTCTGCTGCCTGCTGTCTGACTGCCCTCTGCCGTCCTGCCCCCTCCTGCCTTTGCTCCTGTGGGCTTCCCCGTGTGGCACTCCACTCTTGCTCACCACTTAGGGCCATCCACACTTCAGGACCTAGCTTAGATCCTTCCACTGCCACAAAGCTGGTCCACAAGCTCCTGCACTGCAGGGGCAGTTATGTTTTATATGTATTTAATAATTATCTGACTATTTCAATAGTACTGTATGGGGTAGAATGGGATGGGATTTTGAATTCAAAGGTAAATAATATCCTTAACTTGCTCTGAGAGGAGCTGAGCATACAGGGGCCAAAGGGAGGTGTCTTTGTATGGGGTAGAAGGAAGGAGAAGGGAACTAACATTTCTGGAGCACCTACATGGGCCAGGAACTGTGCTGGGCCATTGAAGATTCTGTCTTATTTAACGCTCTTCACCTTCTGAGCTGGGCATTTCTACCTCTGTTGTGATTTTCTCAAAATCACCTAACAACAGGATTGAAACCCAGTGAGGTCCACAACACAGCCTCTGGGCTCCACACCACCCCACCCGGCCTCCTATGGTGTCAGGTGGGGCTGGGGCGGGTCAGTGAGTTGGGTATTGGCTGTCTCCATACCCTGTCCCTGTGCGTGCTAGCAGGTGGGCTGTTCCTCCTGGGCTGAGGGCAGATGGTGAAAGGCTCTGCCCAGTGGAGGTCCTCATTTGGGCTCTGCTCCCCAGGTAGGGGATGAGCCCCTGTAGGGGAGCTGTGTTTCTCTGTTCTCCTGGGGCCAGGAAACAGGATCTCAACAGTCTTCCTGCTTGTCTTCAGCAATTTCAGGAAGACTTCTGAGGCCAAATTGCTGTTTCCTGTTGAACTCACTTTCAAAGGCACAGAACAATTCTTGGCATGCTTTTTAAATAAAGTGTAAAATACACATAAAACAAAATTTACTATCTTAACCATTTTTAAGTGTGCAGTTCAGTGGCATTAAGTATGTTCACGTTGTTGTGTAACCATCACCACCATTCCTCTCCAGAACTTTCTTCATCTTGCCTAACTGAAACTTACTAACAGCTCCCATTTCCCCTTGCCCTCCTCCTAAACCCCTGGCAACCACCCTTTTATTTTCTGTCTCTACAAATTTGATAACTCTGTGTACCTCATATGAATCGAATCATACAGTATACTTTTGTGACTGACTTCTTTCACTTGGCACAATGTCTTCAAGATTCACCCACATTGGAGCATGTATCAGAATTTCCTTCTTTTTAAGGCTGAATAATATTCCATTGTATGAATATACCACATTTTTTGTGAAACAGGAGAGCTTACATAAAAATCATATACACAAAACACCTTCTGATTCATTCTAAGCTTTCCCACTGGATGTTTCACAGGTCAGTCAATTTCCCATTGAGTCCAGACCCCCTAAAGAGGCACCCACAGTGCAGAGAGCAAGCTCCTCCTGAACAGGTGCCATCAACAGGAACTGCTGCTACTCAGGCTTGAATGAATGTCCAAGGCCTGAGTGACTAAGCAGTGAGGCTGGCTTCCCAGGTGGTTCAGAAGGCCAGTTCTTTCATCAGCTGATAAACTCTGGAATCCACTTGAAATCCATGTAGGTTGTTGGCATCACCCTGCAGCCTCATGGCCAGGCCCCCTAGGATTTGTAGGCAGAGAGACATGCTGCTGCTTCAGTAGAAGGTTCGTGTCCCTTAACCCTCTATGCTTTCTTATATGTTACTTACTCCAGTCGGCCAGCCCTGGGAGACCTGTCATCTGCATGGTTGTATTCACCATCATTCAGGGCATCATCTTCATACAGGGTCCTGGCCAGGACCAACCAGAACTTGTCACCGAAGTCTACTGGGCAGATCTGAATGTTTACATCTAAGATTAGGTCCATCTTGACTCGCTCTCACAGTGCAGTTGGGACACTTGGTCAAACTTCTTGCCATCCAGGTCAGTGTCTTTCACATGAAAAATATCCTCACACCCGATACCTGCCCCGGTGAGGGGGCCACAGGAATAGCAGAGAGGCTGAATGCATGACCACCACTAGGGGTGACACACCCTCTCTTGTGGAGGAAAGGAGAGGAGAGGGGAAAGGAGCCCCTAGAGCACAGCGAGGGATCCACGTTGTGTTTACCCATCCATCTCTGGATCCTTGGGTTGCTCCTGCCTTTGGCTATGGACATGGGTGTGCAAGTACTTATCTGTGTCCCTGCTTTCAGTTACTTTGGGTACATACTAAGAAGTGGTATTGCTGGATCGTATGGTAATTCTTTTGAGGACCCTTCATCTGTTTTCCAGAGCAACTGTACCATTTTACATTCCCACCAACAGTGCACAAAATTCTCCACACCCTCACTGACACTGCTTTATTGATAATAGCCATCCTAATAGGTGTGAAGTGGCTGCATACTTTTTGGGGGTGTATTATTAAGCACCCACATAGGTTCAGGACTGTTCAGAATCTAAGTGAAGGACATGTATCTGGAAGAAGGCAGAGCTTTGCTACCCTGGGGAGCATGTTCATTTTTCAGCACTCCATGTTTGCTAGACGATACTGCATGGTGGTGGTTATACAAAATTGCTTTGTTGGGAGGGAGGGTGTCCACCTAACCTTATGGATTTAGAGACAGTGATAGAACAGAGGGACTTGAGGGATCACTTGTGGCTTGGTGACAGCAGAAATTACAGCCCTCAGTTGGGCTGGTAGCATTCTTTGTCTTAGCTCTTAATGAATAGCTGTCCTCCAGGAGATGTCTTTTATCTCTGGGCAGTTCACTGCCCTGGGCACCGCAGTCAGGCAGGTTGCAGTGTGATGGGGTGGGGGAGGCAGGACAGCCTGCCAGGGCCTCTGAGTGCCTGCCCTGATTTGGTGGTGCTGGGGGTGTGTGAGACACAGTCGCTGCTCTCAGGGAGTTTCCACTGAGAGGGAAATAGACGCATCATTTCAGGGTCCAGGGCGAGTCCCTGAAAGAAGTGGGGACAAGGCCCTATGGGAGGCCCAGAACAGAGAAGGCAGGTTCCTGAGAGGCATTGTCTGAACTTGGTTTTAAATGGTGAGTAGGAGCTGGCCAGAAAGAGAGAAGGGAGTTGGAGGAGGGAACAAGCCCTTCTGCTGTCATTGAACTTCATCCAACACATGCTCTTGTTTGGGAGAATATTCCAAGTGGTCTTGCATTTCAAGCCTTGATAGATTTAGGGAGGAGATGAAATGGAATCTTCCTCAGAGCTCTACAAATGGATGGAGGCAGGTAAAAGAGATGTGACCAGCCTTTTGGGGATGGCCTCCTGCAAGCACCATTGCATCCCCATTGTCCTGGTTGCAAGGCTGCCTTTGAGAGAGGTGCACACATCCTCCCTGCCTTCCTGCAGGGCTGGCAGAGGAGGAGGTGGCACCCTGGGGTAGTCTAGGGGCCTTCCCATAGCTGGCCAGCTCTCAAAGCCTGTACTCCACCATTTCTCTAGTCCAGAGGCACCTTCTTTTGTACCAGCTGTTTGCCTTCCAGTGAATGGGTATTGACATGTATACCCACTGTTATTTAAAAATTAGACAATAAGAAGTGGATTTTGTATAAAGTGGGAGTTGCCACTTCCCCAACTCCACTCTCCTCCCCAGAGGCAACCCTGTCAGCTGCTGAGCGTGTGGTCCTTGTTCCATGAAGTGTCTTTTTACGACAAGGTCCTATGATGGGTTTCATTTTACAACTCGCTTTTGTTATACCATTCTATATTCTGGGGCTCTCTCCTTCCATGGCAGCATATTTAGATCTTCCCCATTGCGTGTAGCACTCCACAGAGTGAATATATGATTTATACAGCCATTCTCCTTCTGTGAGGCAGTTTTGTCCTTATAAACGGTGCTGTAACAACATATCTTTGTACACTCATACATTTCTTTGGTTTAGGTTCCCAGAAGTAAAAACTTAGGCCGGACTATAGGAGCATTTACAATTTTGATAAAGACTGCCAGCTTGCCCTCCAAAAAGGTGTTCTGCTTTAGACTCACCAGCACAGCCTAACAGGACTTGTTTTCCCTTCTCCCTCATCACTGCTGGGTATCTTTTATATTTCTTCACATCTGAGGAGGGAAAAAGCATTTGGCTGTTGGTGGTCCATGCTCCCTAACAGAAAGCCATCCCTGAGACCTGCAGATGAAAGCTCCCCGCCTCCAGCCAGCCTCCTTCCTGAGCACCACACTCTGTGGAAGTGCAGAGTGGCAGATGCCTGCTGGCGGGGCCGCAGAGATGCACTGCTCCTCTCTGTCCTTGGCCTCCCTATGCCCTGTCTCAGGCCAGCCAGGACATTTGCTTTTCGTGTTGAATTTTTTCCTAGAATTCGTTTGGTCACCCTTTCCCAGCTGGCTTTCCTATGAACTATGTCAGTGCCTCACTTCGTTGCTGCATCTGCCTGCCAGCTCTGTGGGACCCACATCTTTCTACTGCTGCTCAGGGCTAGCAGCCTCTGACACCCACACTCACACTCCCTGCATGTTCCTGGTGAACATTAGTCATGAGAGTCCGTGCGGCCTCCCTCCTTGTCACTAACCCAATAAGATACTATAATTCAGGTGTTCTGTACATCCTTTAATTAGGGTCAGAATAGAGGAGTAAAAACACGATTTCCCCCGAATCTAATGAACATTCTCAGAAACTGGATTTTAGATTTGGTTCCCTGCCAGAGAGCTGTAAAGAGGGTGGGTGAGGAGGGCACTGCCATTTCTTGGGGGCTGCTGGTCAGTTTCCTTGCAGGAACCCAAGGCATGATGGTATTTTCTCTGATTTACAGTGAGGCTGAGTCACATGCCAGAGACCCTCTGCCCCCCGCAACCAGGGACTTAAGTGGCAAAGCCCAGACTTGAACCCAGGTTTGCCCTGCACTATGGTACTCCCCCTCTTCATAGCTTGGCTCCAAGCAGATTCATCCTGCAGATCTTCCTTCCTGGTGGGCCTCATGGAGCCGTTGGGCATCTGGAAGAAGGACCTGTGCCTTTTCCCCCACCTTCCCCTGCATACCTGCACTCTGGCCTGGGCTTCCCAGGTTTTGCAGTGTCCTTTCTTTCCTGGGGACCACCTTTATATGCTGACATATCCAGGAGCCACCTATACTGTTATTTATGGAGTATTTTCTTTATATTGAGTCACTCTTTTTTTACTTGGGCAAATTTACCTTCATGGGCTTTTTTCACTGCTCTAAGTAGAAAACCAATTTCACTTGGCGTCAGTCCAAAGTAACATACAGATAATAAAAAGAAATGAATACAGTGAAATCAAAACAGCAATCCTAGCTGGGTCCTGCAGTCTTCAAAAGCTCCCAGGGATGGCCCGCTCCTTATTAGAACAGGCAGCATTCACAGTGTTGGAATAGCCACACCGGGGAGAGGCAGGAGAGTCTCAAGGTAACTGATTCAGTGGATTGAGCACCCCTTCCCAGCCTGCTCAATGCCACCTTTGAGGAATGCTCCTCCAGCTTCTGGCCACTGCCTGCCTCCAGGCCTTTGCTTCTGCCTTTGGCTCCATTAGGATGGCTCTCCTCTTCCTCTCTTGCTCACGTGGTGAGGTTCTATTCCTCCTGCAAGGTGAGGCTCAAATGCCACACTTACTGAGACATGGCCTCTGATGACAGAGCCACTGTGTCCTCACCCCAGGTGCTCTGATTACTCCCTGGGACCCTTTCCATATGTCCGTCCTGGCGCAAGTCAGACTGAAGAGCAGGCCTCTGTGTATTTATTCCGTGAGACTCTGAGCTGTGGGAAGGGGTGCTTATTCTTCTGACTCAGTTGGGAGCCCCTGTGGGCTGAAACAGGCTCTTGTCAGAGCTTCAGCCTCAGGCTCTGCTCCTCTCTGCACTGGCCCCTCTGCTGTGAGCTCGGTGCTCAGGCGATGTTGCTGGTGAGCTGGGTATTCTGGCATGCATTCACAACTGCCACCCCCGACTCCAGAGCAGCCACTAGCATGGGGAAGATGCAGGTGCGGACACTCCAGGTGGCAGGGGGCAAGAGCAGCTGCTGGGGTAGAAGGCACCTCTGGGAGGAATGCTTGGTATGGAGGGTTCCCAGCTGTATGAAAGCCAGTACCTCTGAAGATGCCCCTGGGGCCATGATATTCCCTTGGCTTTGACCTGCTTTGGCTTCCTGGCTCCAGCTCCCCGCTCATCCGGTCTTTGGGACAGCCTCCTCTTCGCGTGGCCCCCTCTGGTGTTTCGGCCCCTGCCTGACACTGGCTTTTTGGCTTTGGCCACTGCTCACTGCTCACAGGCCTGGCTCTGGACTCCTGCCTCCCTGCCAGGATCAGCATGCTCACATCTCATGACCTGTCCAGCTTTGGTCCAGAGGTCTATGGGAGGGAGGTTGTGTGTCCAGGGTGAGGTGGCCAGTGGCTGAGGGAGAGCCAGGTGCTCCCGAGGGCTCCTGTCATCCTCCATCCACTCTGCGGACCTCACTCTTCCCTGGGAGTGGTGTAGACTGCAGGGAAGAGCTGCAAGCTGCTGAGCAAGCGGTGCCCTGGGGCTGCACTGAGGAAGGGCACCTTTTCCTAATTTGCCCAAAACTCTGTATGGGCTGGCAGCAACCCTGGAGAGCTGTGGCCTACCCCTGCTGGACTCCATACCTACTCCAGGGTAGGGACTAGGGGCATTCATCTTGGAAGCCGAGTGCCCAACACTTCTAGTCTCAATGAAAGGTGGATGAATAGAATTTAGTTCAGTTGGTTTTTTGAAATGAAACTGTTAGGCTAGGGAACTTGATGAAAGACAAATACACTGCCATGACACACAGGCACTTAATGTCCCTGAGCCTCAGTTTCTTCATTGTGACCACTGCATATCTCTTAGCTCAAGTTGGATAATGCATGTAAAGCACTTGACTCACTAAGTGTTTTTTCCCTCCCTCAAAAATGTTTCTGAAATGAATGAATTTGGAAGGTATATGCTGAGAGAGTAATTGTTTTTTTTAATGGAACACAAATTTTTATTTATTTTAATAGTCAAACTCTCATGCTGCAGCAAAGTTGTGATAAATTACAACACGTATGCCTTCTGGAAAGAAAAAACTTTGAAATCATACAAACTTCAATTTGAGTCTCAGTTCCACTAACCTCCTTGAGTGTCAGCTTCCTCATCTGTAAAATGGGGATAATAGTTCTACTTTTAAAACTGTGTATGTGGCATTAAATGAGATACTTGATTGAGCTGCCATCAGACTGGGCATACCACAGACTGGGCAGCTTAAAGAATAGGCCTTACGAGAATGAAACTGGATCACTGTCTAACCCCATACACAAAAGTAAATTTGAAATGGATCAAAGACCTGAATGTAAGTCATGAGACCATAAAACTCTTAGAAAAAAACATAGGCAAAAATCTCTTGGACATAAACATGAGTGACTTCTTCATGAACATATCTCCCCAGGCAAGGGAAACAAAATAAAAAATGAACAAGTGGGACTATATCAAGCTGAAAAGCTTCTGTACAGCAAAGGACACCATCAATAGAACAAAAAGGTACCCTACAGTATGGAAGAATATATTCATAAATGACAGATCTGATAAAGGGTTGACATCCAAAATATATAAAGAGCTCACACACCTCAACAAACAAAAAGCAAATAATCCAATTAATAAATGGGCAGAGGAGCTGAACAGACAGTTCTCCAAAGAAGAAATTCAGATGGCCAACACACACATGAAAAGATGCTCCACATCGCTAGTTATCAGAGAAATGCAAATTAAAACCACAATGAGATATCACCTCACACCAGTAAGGATGGCTACCATCCAGAAGACAAACAACAAATGTTGGTGATGTTGTGGAGAAAGGGGAACCCTCCTACACTGCTGGTGGGAATGTAAATTAGTTCAACCATTGTGGAAAGCAGTTTGGAGGTTCCTCAAAATGCTCCAAATAGACTTACCATTTGACC